CACGAGAGCAACGGGAAAACTGCGCTGCGGTGCTGAGCGACCAAAGCACTTTTCAACTTGAGAGGTTGGTGCAACTTGCACCAGTAGCCCAACGGCAACGTCGGCAGCGCTCTTGCAAGATATCTCTGATTCACAAAGACAACGCAGGATCGAATCCAGTTCAGTCGAGCTTCACCTCGACCTCTGCTACTCGAGAAAGATAGCGCTATAGGGCGGCACCCCCTCGACGGCTTTATCCGGAGACAGATCTGCGCGCGGGTGAGCACTGCAGGCCGCCGCCCCCGCATTTCGCACAGGCGTGGGGGATAGCCCAGCGCAGCCAATGCTCCGCTGGAGGCTAGACCGATGCGGACGTCGCAAAACACCAGCGCCGACTGCTGTCCCCGCTGGAAACTGCCCGGCAAGGCCACCCAGGTTGGTCGCCTAAAAAACTACCAGAAACGCTGGATACACGGCGCGTCGGTCCGATATCGACGCCCTCCCACGCTGAGCCCCAAGATGCCTTTCGCGCAGCCGCGATGTCATCAAGAAGGCTGATTGATCCCAGACCCGTGCTCACCTCGGCGAGCTGCTAGCCGCGCGGATTAGCCCACCGATGAACTGCGCCAGACCGGCCACTGAATGCCTTCATCAACCAAGGTGGAACAAAGATTTTACATCGCGCAGCTCCGGGTCGCTGCTGGTTCGGCCGATTGACCGAAGAAGTCTCCGAGGAACTGTAACGCGCAACCAAAAATGCGTAGCGGGCGAAGCGACAACGCACGCGAGCACGTGTACAATGTCATCCACGAAGTAGCCAGGCATGGACGCACGCAGTCTACCACCCCGCCCATGGCCACCCGCGAAATCAACTAGATGCGCCGCGCACGCGTGCATGCCGTGCTGTCGCGCCTATGTTATGAAAGGCCGTGGGTCATGTATACGCTGCTTCGCTGTGCGCAATTCCCGTGGGAGCTTGCGCCGCTCGGTTGGTGCCACGCCAGCGCGCCCCCGGCAGTCGTGCGCGCGCGCTACGGGCCATCGGCACGTCCACCAGGCCTGGCTGGGCCACCTCTCGCATCGAAGATATGCAACGGCCCAGCCTCTTTTGGCGGGCACGGCATCACTGCGCGCGAGCTAATCCCACTCAACAATCAAACTCTGGCAAAACACAAACCAAGAACGCCATCTCACCGTCGTCGTCGCCATCTTCAGACACTGGAATGGTCGACGAAGAACTCGGTAATGCCTGGGGCCCGCGGGGTCCGGGATCGACTGGCGTTGGTTCGTATGCGCGCGCAGGGTGCCCGCCGCGCATGGCGGCGCCTGCGTCGCTGCGGCCAAGCAATCGCAAGCCAGCCAGTTGTCAGTCTTCGAATCGTCGCCAGAGCCAGGGTCTCGACATGCGCCTTCAGAAGCAAAGGCGACCCTCGCGCCCAGCTGCGTCGCAAGGCCACAGGCGGGCAACATGTCATGCTAAATGTCACCGAGGACCATGCTTAGGAGCCGCCGCGACCCCAAAAACAGCAGCCGAAGTCCATGGGAATTGCGCTGCAATTGTCTGCCGTTTGAAAGCGTGCAACGCTGGGGGCGCGGGCCCGCCTGCAGCGCCCTCCGGCGGGCACCCATTCTAAACCAAACACCGCCGCGGCCGTCGCCATCGTCGCCGCCGAGACCACATGATAACAAATGTAAGAATTATCATCGCGCTGAGGGCGCGTCGGCCTGCGTCGCCGAAACTCGACTCTCTGTCGCAGCCGAGTGCCGCGAACACGCCTCGTCGACACTTGTCGACAGCAAAACCGCCGAAATTGCCTTTGAAAGGGCCGCGACGGGGGCACCCGAGGGGGCCGCAGAAATCGCCGGCGAAATCGCCGCCGAAATTGCAGCTGCAATCGCCGCCGAACTTGCCGCAGCAATTGCTGCCGAAATTACCGCCGGAATAATTGCGAACTCCGCCGCAACAGCAGCCGGAACTCAGCCGCCGAAGTCGCCGCCGAAATTCAGCCGCCGAAATTGCCATTGCACTGTCCCGAGCGAAATCATTTGTTTAATTCGTCACGATGGCGCCGCGGACACAGGCATTGGGTCGCAGCCAAGGTCAAGTTTGGCTTCTTTTCGGCGGCGCAATCAAAAATTTCGGCTGAAATGTCGGCGGCAATTTCGGCTGCGATTTTGGCGGCAATTTCGGCGGCGATTTCGGCGGCAATTGTGGCGGCAATTTCGGCCGTCGGCCTTTTCGGCGGCCACCTCGGCGGCCCTTTCGAGGGCGCTTTCGGCGGCGCTGCTTTCGCCGACTGCCGACAACGGCTGCCCGGAACTCTCGGCACTCAGCGGCCCGGGCGGGCCCTCAGAGGACCCTCGAAGGGCCTCGCCAGAAAGCGTCTGCGAAGTAGCTCAAGCCACGCGTAAGTGGCGCGCGATAGCATGCGCAACGCGCAATGGAATGCCCCGTATTATGCGTCGGTACGCTGTAAGATGCGCCGGGGAACCGCCGCGCGGCAGGGCGCGCCTGCGAACTGAAACCATCAAGAAAAGCTCCATTTCGTTTGGAGTGAATTTCGGCGCGCGCTCCTTTTCGTCTCCAAAGTTAGAGCCGCTGCGATGGGTGCCCCAGTCTCCAGAGGCAACGGCAGGCAACGAAGAAACGCTGGGTCACGCGCCAAGCCGCGAGATGCGACTGGCATTGGCGCGGCCAGCTTAGAGCCCTGCCCCAAGTATGATGAGGCAACTGCAGATCCACCTCGAAGGCCAGCCTGGGCCAGAGCGGCCGCGCTGTAAGCAAGGACGGCCACGTGCGAGCTGAGGCATGTCGAGGGTTTCACCACCCCGATGTCGCCCCGCACATCGGGTCCAACGCCCGCCCTGGGCTTGCCAGAATCGGAACAAATGTCGGCGTCGACTGGGTTCCAGACGCGTCGGACGCAGACGCCCATTGCCCAATAGACGCAACCCCTGCGTGGCAACGAGAAAAACGCGACGCATGTCGCCCAGACAATATGTCGCCCGCGGCCAGCCATAGCTGTTCAAACTGGGCATGCGCACGGGCTTCCGCCGGGGGGACGTAGCCCGCGTCGACGACGATGAGCCCCGCTAGAATCCAGCGCGCGACGACCGATCGAGTCTGGTTCGCGAGGCACACGGCCAGGGCTTTCAAACTGAACTAAGGCTCCCGAGCGCACTGCAATAAGCCAGAAGCCCCTCACCTCTGGAAGACTGTGTCCACTCTCAAACATCTGAAACCGCATGGCCATGATCAGCTGCGCCTGGCCGCCTCTCGCCACCCAAACGGGTGGATGGCGTGCGGGGGGGAAGTCCGTGGAGAGTTAGGCTGCGCGACTGGCAAAGTCATCTCGAGCTGGTCGAACGCTCGAACTACTCCGTCGCCGAACAACTGAGGCATATGGACTATCAAAAGTGAGTCATCCTCCGTCTGCTCCCTCCATGGCGGAGTCGCCCTGGGCATCCAAGAAGCGTTCCCATGAATAGGCGTGGCAGGTAAAGCAATAGAAAGTATTGCAACGTGAGCTTGCCGATGCTGCGCCACCGCCGCTGGAGCTGGGCAAACATGAGTCCCCAAGGACTGGCAGAACGCCAACGCATCCTCATGTGATGTAGACGGTACTGCTTTGTCAATACTCTCCAACCGATTAAGGGCACCGTCCCAATTCTGCTCTGCTTCGTTGCTCGGTGTAATACGTCCTGAAGCCAAAGCGGCCACACGGACAGCTGTGTCTTCTGAGAGTATCTTGGCGAGATCAGCAGTCGCAGCCTCCAACTCGGGTGATTTGGCGCCGTGGTCCAATTTGAGCTGTCCACCTGCTTTTGTGAGGCCCGTACTTTTTTCGTCTTTGCCGCCTGACGCTCGAAGGCTCCACGAAAATGGACGTCATGAGTGCACAGAGCCCGCTCTGGATATTCGGCGCTGCTGACTCCTGTTGGGCAGCGGCCAGGATGGCGCTGCTGTCATCCATCCCAAGCCGCGCAGGAGCCGAGACGGCTTTGCGCGCTCGAGCCACGGCCTCTGGTGAGGGGTCCTGGGTCGCATCCGCATCCTCGTTCTTGTCCTTCCCAAGCTCCTTCCGTACCTGACGATGGAGGTCGGGACGGCCGTCGCTGCGATCGAGCTGGGAAACCTGGGTCAGGCTGACCAGACTTTTCGCGTCCACACTTGCAGCACCACGTCGCGTTGGCAAAGTCCGAGTGTACCCGCACTGGCGGGTAGCAACACATGGCGAAAAAGTCTCGCGAGCGCCATCTTGCCGCCCACGTCCGCCGCGACCCGAAAGAAATCCCATGGGAGTTGCCGAACCGTGGTGTCGAATGAGCAATACACGGGCTGCGTCTGGTCGCAAAGAATGTCGAGCTTGATGTCGACGTCGGTGCCGCCGCCGATGCCCCGATGCCAGGAGGGTGACGTATTCCTTGACGATGCCGTCCTTGCCGTCCTCTGACTTCCCGCAAAAACAACAAGAGGGCGGGATGGGACTCGCCGGCGCGCCGCACCACAGTGCACGGCTTAGCCAAGGGTCGCCTTGCTCCCTCCTGCCGCGCGCGCCAGGCGGGCGAGGGGCTGGGCGCGGGAGTTGGGAGTTGGGTCGGGGCGCGGGGCCACAATTCAAAACGCACCGACGCGAAAAGCCTCCGTCGGCTCCAGCCCACGCCTACCGTGAGGAGGAGGAGGAGGAGGAGGAGGAGGAGGAGAAGGAAGAGGAGGAAACGGAGGAGAGGAGGAGGAGAAAGAGAAAGAGAACCAGGAGGGAAGAGGACGAGGAGGAGGCGGAGCCAGAGGAGGAGGAGGCGGAGGCGGAGGATGAGGAGAGTTAGAGGATAATGGGGGAATACCAGGAGGAGGAGCAGGGAGGAAGAGGGAAGGAAGGGGAGGAGGGAAGGAGAAGGGAGGGGAGCGAAGGGTAGACGCGTGGAGGAGGAGGGAAGGGAGGAGGGGGGACGAGGAGGAAAGGCCGAGAGGATGAGGAGAAAGAGCCCGTGCGCAGAGGCTGCGGAGGACAGCGGGGCGCCTCGTCCAGGCGCTCCTGGCGCCGGCGCACCTCGCCCTCCAGCTGGGCGTTGCGGACGCCAGCGAGGTGGGCCTGGGCGGTGCGCGCTCCCTGAAAACACGGAGCGACTGCACAAACATAAGCTGTTGAGGGAACGCGTTTCGTGGACGTTTGCTTCGGAACCGAGAGGAGGGGGGCTACAAATTTTAAGCGCTTCAAGCGACCAGAAAACCAAGGCCCTTCCCCAGACACCGGCCTCTCTGACCAGGGGGGGCTTGAGGGGGGGGTCGAACCGGTCGCCGCCCCCCTCCCTCCCGCTAAGAGAATTCGATTAGTGTTCGGTCAAGCTCTAGAAGAACACTACTATAGCTGGATGCAACTTTATGAGCATGATGGTCAGGATCCATCCCCTTGACAAATAATCCTACTCTAGCTGCGTCCTGAATTGATTGAATCCTTCGAATCCTACGATAGCCGGACGCAACGTCAAAAGCATCCTAGTCGAGCTCGGTCCAACTCTTCTAATGAATCCCACCAAGGTCCCCCCTTCCATCCCTGGCTTTTTCTGGGGCGGACCGCAGTCGGCGAGAGGTCCGAGATGGCCCAATATGGCTCCAAGAGGGCCTCCGATGCTCTAAGATGGTCTCCCAGGCGGCTCAAGACAGAACAAGATGTGTCAAGATAACTTCCGCATACATACCTCTAAGAGGCCTAGCGAGGGCCACACGACGGTTCCCAATGCTCTCGGGGCCACCTCAACACCCTCCCAGGAGGCCAACATCCGTCCAAAACATAATGGAACATCAATGAACTGTGCTTTCTCCCCTTTTCGCTTCCGATGCGCTCTTGAGGCCTCAAGATTGCCCCAAGATGGTCCAAGAGAGCCCAACATCGACGCAAGAGGCCCCCCAAAAGGCACCAAGAGCGCCCAAGATCGGCCCAAGAGCGCCCCAATAGGACCCCGAGAGGCGATTTTGAAGGCCCCCAGAGGGGGCCTGAAATTTAGGACCTCCCCCTCCTTTGATCGATACCCATTCTCCATGGATCCGCGGATCTTTGTTTCACTAAATGCATCTCTTCGCCCCTTGCCCCGTTAGCTCTCATGGGCAGGGTTTCTGAACGGGCTGGTGGGGATAGGCGAAGCGCGCAGAACTGAATCCTACTAGGGCGTTCGATCCAGCCCTAACAGAAACTTACTAGGGCTCGATCCAGCCTTAAGCAAGAACATTCTACTAAGGGTTGATCGTCGTCGTTTTCGCTGCCCGACAGCGCCAGCGCCAACGCCGGCGCTCGCCGTCGTCGGTTGCTCCTGTGGAGGGAAGCCCCCCCTCCTACCCGGTCCGAACCCCACCACTCTGGAGGGCGACCCCCCCCCCAGTTCGAACCCCACCCCCTTGCAATTCCGGGCGTGGGGGGGGGCGGCATCCCCGCGTGTTTGAACGCCCCCCTTTCCCAGCGTCCACAGAACGCGCTTTTTCAAACTGTCGGAGCTCCGCGTGGATTTCTTGGATCGGCGCTGGGCCCCCCTGGCGGCGCTGACGCCCCCTCCCTGGCGCGCTCCGCGCGCCAGGGATGGGGCGTCAGCGCCGATCCAAAAACTCGGGGCGGAGCTCCAAAACTATCTCTTCATCACATGTTTTGTTCTTCGATTTCCGCAGGTCGCCGCCGCCGCCGAGGGGAATAGTGGAGAGCAACTCGAGGCCACTGCGTTGAGACCACGGCGGCCCTGCCGCCCGGCACAACTCCCAACTCCCAATTCCGCTCGAATGGTCCCGGGCCCCTCCCCCGGGTCCAAGCGCACCACTTTTCCGAATCTGGCCAGTGGCGACGAGCCCCCTTCCCCCGAGGAGGGGAAAGGCAACCCTGGTCTCACCTGGCGTTCCAGCGAAAATCGGAAGCTGAGGGTAGACTCGAATCGAATCGAGCTCTTGGGGTATGAGTTTTCTTCTTGACCGCGTGAGACGCCTGGACATCACCTGGCAGCCTGCCAGCTCACAACCTTCAGAACATTGTAATAAGCCCTGGGGACCTGTCGAGGAACTCGTGACGCCACCTGTGCGTATAGGAGGTGCTGCACTGGTGGTCTGGGACGCCCTCGGTCGAAGGTCGAGGTCGGAGGGACGAGCACGAGGTGCGGGAAGATCCACAGGCCACCGACGAGGACGGTACAGGCAGGCGGAGGATCGGGGAGACGTAAGACCCGGGTACGGGGGACTCGGAAATCCCCGACGAGGTCGTCAAAAAAATGACGAGGCCGAGCCTGCATTTTGACGAAGCCTCCCGCTGCAGACATCCCACGAAACTCCTCCTCGTCAAAATCCGAGGCGCAGTCGTCAAAAAACGATGGCGAACCCGAGTCCCGGCAAACCCGGGTCTTACGCTCCCCCGAGAGAAGCAGCATCGAGAGGAGGAGCAGGAGGACCTCACCTCTCCTCCTCTCCCTCACCCTCCTCATCTCTAACGTGTCTGGGCCGTTTTTTGCGTTTTTGCCAAGCCTCTGCGGGAGCCCTCGCGGCCACGGCAGGAGCCGCCTCGGCGTCCTGGTCGGAGCGCGCGCCACAACGCAACCCTGGCGGGGACGTCCTACGCCCTAGTACGGAACATTTCCCCTCCTTTTGCCCCCCCCCGCCCCCCTCGCCCTCGCGATGCTGACGCCGATGATGCAGTTCCTCCTGGGCCCATTTCCTCCCCTCTCGTCCTGCCCCTTTCATCCCGGGCCCCTTCGCCACCGTTCCTATCGAACCCCTTCCCTCCCATAGCCCACCATCCCCACCCCCGCGCCTTTTCTTGTTGTCCTGGACCAGCCGGGAGATCCGCGGAAACTCCCGCCCAACGCCCACTCCAGAGAGCGGCGCGCAGCAGATGCACAGCTGCAGACTCGAACTGTGCATCCCGACCGCGCGCGACGCCCCCCCGGACCAGCCGAAAGAGCAACGTGAAAGTTCAAGGCTAATGAACGCCGCCCGCGAGGGGCACGCTCCAAATACACAGATGGGAACAAGACCTGCGTACGCAGATCACACCATGATCTGTGGAAACACTGGACCCGCGCACGAAAATACACACTTGAAGACGCCAGCTGCGTGCGCATATCACACCTGGATCTGTGCATTTCGAAAAAGTACACGCTCGCCACCTCGAGGCTTCCGGGACTGCGCCAGCCCAGAATCGAGGTCGACATGTCCAGCTGGGGGGGACTGCAAATTCGCACTTCCGGGTGTGATATGGATATCGCTGATATCGTTTGTCGAACGATCGCGCGGCGAATCACTCTGCGTAGCTCTAAGGCCAAGGGCCCTAGTTTGAAACAAAATGGCAGCGACAAGGCGGGCATGAGAGATAGAGCGGGGAAGCAGGGAAGAAGCAGGAAAGGCACGGGGAGTGAGCGGGAATCACACTCCTCCTGATCGACGCTCGCGGCGCCGTCGAGCGACGATCACCGATCGCAGCTCACTTCATTAATCAGAGCGCTCCAAAACAAACACAGGCAAACGGCCTTGTCGGCATGCTATCCGGCTGCCTCTGGGCATTTAACGGGTGCTGCTACACGCACCGGCAAGAAACAAATAAATTCGCCAAACAAACAGCAGCGCGAGTCCGATCGCTATGCGACAAAACTCAAATAGCGCTATCTTATCAAGATAAGGTCTTAATAGTGTGGTCGTCACCACATAAAAAAACTGTGCACACTGAATGAAGCTTCGAGCAGTGCGGACTAGCGTAGTCTGCCACAAGATGCGGCACCGGGTAAAAAAAAACGAGCTGGTAAGACAATTCGGACTAACGTAGTCTGCCACACGATGTGGCGCCAGGTGTAAAGAAACGAGCTGACAAAACGATGCGGACTAACATAATCTGCCACACAATGTGGCGCCAAGTATAGAGCGGCGGCGGGCATCACGAAATCTTATTTTGAGCTTTCGCCTTGCCGGGCAACCCTTGTAGCTGCCTCCATCTATTCTGCAAATCCCAGCGCAGACTATTGTGCATCCTCGAAAAATCTGGCTCATGGGTCATGTGATTCCTGCGAAGCCATGACGCATGCTTCCTGCACGTCCTGCAGGCTATGTAGACACTATGTGTGTTGTGGCCCACGCGTATGTTGTGCTCGGCGATCACACATGCGTTCATCTCCGATGGCGAGACCGTTGGCGTCGATCCGTTCCACGAAACCACACTGGCTGACGAAGAACTGTGAGCCGTCATCGGGGGTGATGGCGCAGAACTCGCTCCCTGCGCGAAGCTGTCCGGTGATGGTGGCGGTGCGGCTGGCGCTGCCGATCCGCTTGCTGACGATGAACTCTGGGCTGCGCCGGCAATCATCGGCGGCTCCATGTAGACATCTCCGTCGGCGTCTTCGGGAATGGTAGGCGGTGCGCTGTTGCGACGTCCAAGGTATCGTCCGTCCCATCCTGGATATACTCCGGGCAAGGGGGTGTCCGCGTGCCCGGTGTGGTCGGCCTTGGACCCATTGCTGGTGTTGTTGATGGTCCCGATCTGAATTGGATTGGGGTCGCCTGGCCCAAATATCTCTCTTCGCACCACAAACCACAGCGCTGCGAACAATGTAAATCCAATCATGATTCCACTGAGCATCGCAATGAATGTCATATAGTAGACCCTATATGACATCGGCACTTGCCATTCCTGTGAGGGAGGCTGTGCCTTCACGCGTCCAAGACAGGTCATCAGCACTGAGGCAAGCATGGCGGCGCGCGGTTGCCTAGTGCCAAAGTTGTGCTTCTCGGCCCCGAAGAAAGCGAGGAGCACTCCGGTCTCCATGATCTTGGTGAGCGCGTTGGCGACCATACTCCACGTAGGTATCCACGAGAGCTTCAGCTGGCTGTTGGGGTGCACCGTCTCCTTGATCATCGATGCCACGATGCGGAACCGCTTGTCCGTGGATTGACCCACGTAAGACTTGATGTGCGTCACCAGGCCGTTGCTGTCGCTGTAGATCTCCCCGGATCGTTTGGTGCTGAGGTCGTCGATCTGCTTGAGCGTCTTCTTCGGGTTGTAGGCCACCGTGAGTAGCTGGCCGAACCACGTGCTCGACTCGGCGCCCTCCAGAGTAGCGTAGCCCTCGGCGGCCA